GGTCCCTTTCAGCCCTAATGTCTATGAAATCTATGAAATAATGCTAAACTTCCACGTTTCTTTTTTCACCTTGAACAATTTTAGCTAGCATTCCTGCAAGTGTACCTAGCTATAAGCCCTCATGTTTCAAAATATAAATCAACTGCTTGGAAGTCAAAAGAAACTTACTGGATAAGAATCCTCTTGTGCAAATGTCAACCCTGACACCTTTCAGAAAAGCATGTGGTGTGTAACACTGGCAGATGGGGAGCTGGACCAGTGATCTGATCCAGTAAGGCAAGTCCTATGAATTGGTGTGAAGGATAGGAAAAAAAATCTTTGCTCTTCCAGATGGTGGATTAGGCAACACATTTATATTAATCAGACACGCCTCAGTAGAGCTCAGGAGCAGAATCATAACAAGAACCCTATACTGGGCTATTAACAAAGGATGAAGATACAGTGATTGGACATCTTATGGAGAAACTGCGTCTGGACTTCACTAGTCTCTCATATACGCGTGCATGGTATTCTTCTAGATAGTCAATAAGTTAATATGTTCCAAGCTTGAAAGCAATCTTCTATGTTGTACCAACTCTGTCACTCATACCCACTCCTTTTCCAACCCAAGGTGGGGGGAAGGAGGAAATCAATCAATCAATATTTTACTGCCCTCTTTATCCATCTCAAGTGACAAGTTTAGTACCCAGCATTCTCTGCATTTTCTTGGAATTACTTACATGCCCATTAACAATTAAGATGATATTTGCCTGCAGGTGGCCAGATATTAGGAAAGAGTGAAGGCGCCGTTTGATTTATTCTGTAATGTACCTTTACTTACCTGGTCCAACAGCACATCCCTTGCAATACAACTGATGAGGAAAATGTGAAAAACAAAAAGCTCCCTCATGGACAAAGCCAAAAATCAAATTATGTATCCATGCAGAAACAGCTCATATCTTCAAGACTTCCCCTATTGTGCTTTTATTCTAGGAATAATTTTATAGGTGTCCCTGGCTAAGCACTGAGGGAAAGTAAAGTGATATGCTTCAGTAATTTAATTCTTCTTCTAACCAAGCATGTAGTAATAAAAGGGTGCAAAAGAAAACATAACAAATAAAAGAATGTCCCACTCTTGTAATACTGTATGTGCTAGGATCCTATGGTACAGTAACCCTAATCTATGTTCTGGTTGAGTTACCATTAACATTGCCACACTGAAAACAGGATTAATAGCAAAATGGATACAGCTAAAACCTTTGCACTTGACCTGATACAAGAAGACACACTTTTAAAAAGGAGCACTTATGAGGTTAGAAGTTTAAGTATTACAAGTCATGTCCATGTTCTCATGTATAGTCCCAGTTTCTTAAGAAGGGGAGGTAAGCAGTAGATTCTGAGACTGAAATCTGTGCACTCAAAAAGAGTCAATCCTTCCAAACACTGCTTTAGCAAAACAAACACAAGCTATCATGGGAATACAGGCACTAATTTCATTGCTTATTCAGAACCCACTGATGGTCGGCTTGCCCAGAGAATGTCAACTGCAGTGGTTCTTGTTCAAACATGGGCTAAGGAAAAACATTCCAAAACAAGCTAAATTGTTACATACAGCAAGCAGGGTAAAAACAGTCTGCAACAGATTATGATTTTTTTTTTTAATTTGATAACTGATTATAAGTTTATAATGTATTTCTAAAGAAGCACAGTGAACTAATTATGTTTGTGTTGGGGGGGGGAAGAGACGAAAGTATTTAAGTTGCTATAAAGATGCAACCAATAATATGAAATCCTAGCTTCCAACCCCTGCTTTTAATATTCTCTCTAGAAAAAACATTTGCTTTTGATTTCAGGAGTGGTTTGTGATCAGCAATTTAAAGATGGTTTAAAATTTCAATGGTTGCTTTCTTTGTGCCCAAATGTTCTTATTAAGCATTTTTACAATGTGTGAACCTACTGCAACCATAGGGTCCTACAAGACCTCTCTCATCCAAGCACCCCTAGCCCCCATGAATTGTGTTAATGTTTCATTTGAACTATTTGAAATGAGAGCTGCAAGAGTTTGGCTCAAATTCTCACTGAGCTAATTCTCAGAATACCAGACTATCAAGAAAAAAATATTACACATTACTCATTTGGCCTGTTTGTGTTATGTTTTCCTTTATTTTACTATCCAGGTTTGCAAAGAACAATAATTAGCAGATTCCTACTAACTGTCAGCTACATAATTTGAACCAATGATTCAGATTATTTCTAAAATACAATACCCTTCAGATTTGTTATTGTTCTTTCTAGTGTTGTATACTATGTACTTTGCTAGCTACTACAACAATACCAGCTTCCTCATCCAAACTGACAAATCTTTTCTGAGTTAAAAGCAGCTGCTTAAATTACTGGCCTCAAATAAACAACCATTTTTTTACTCTCTTAACAACTACCAAATCTAGAAGAATTCGTTCATACCTTGTTAATAGTCATACCAAAAATTTTAAATTAAACAAATAATATATTAATTGAAACAAAAATACCTTGTGCCAAATGACAATATTCTATATACCACATTCAGTGCAACCCTTCACAAAATCAGAGCATTTCTAATGACTTGGCTATTGCAGAACATGCTTTTAAGTGGAAACATGGGGGGGGAGGGAATCCCTGGGATGTAAAAAAATGTGCAAAACTGAGGTAATGTGCTCAGTTGGTGAGAGAAATTGTTGAACCATTATGCACTTCCGGCATCCTCTACAATATAGTGCTGGTTCCAGACTTCCAGTGAGCAAAAATGACTCACAAGAAAAAGTAGAAGGGAAACTCAAAACTATAGTAAAAAATAAAACAAAGTCCCACCTTCGCTAATCACAATAAGTTTCCACCCAAAAGTGAAGGTCATCAGTGTATGCCTTACCTATGTGATTGATTTACATTCAAATGCAACCTTTAGAAAAAAAGTCAGCCTAACGTAATAACTAATATTCAAAAGACTGTTTTCTCATGCTTCACTCTTCAGCCTAGTCACAGGGAGAACATTTTAAAACCACTTAGTCGAGGGTTTATAGGAAGTGGCATTCTGCAAAAACTTAGCAATTGGTAGCCATTAAAAAAAAAAAAGCAATATTGTGTTACTATCTTTAATATCTTCTAATATCTTTTAAAAAAAAAAATAACAGTAGCTTGAGACCTATATGAGAGATCAAACTGTTAACACCACAAGCCAATGAAGCACAAACAGGGTCAATTCTCTGGCTCTGTCTGAACTATTCAGACATCAGTACACTACTGGCCGCTTCTCAGACCAGTAGTGACGTGACAACTTCAGAGAAGGCAACTCAGCCACAGCTCAGATAGGAGTGGAAAGTCTTTTTTTTTTTTTTAAATGAAGAAAATATAGCTAAAATGAGATTTCAAAAGACCTGAAAAGGCCTTTTGAGATTGAAATCTTTGTGTCTACTTCTTTGTTTAGCACTATGTTGAAGGTAGCCTAAAAAAAAAAAAAAAAAAA